TGCTCCAGGTTCAATCGAATGGCAGATCCCCGCAACGCCGATTTGACAAAACGACGTTTAGTAAATTGGCTTCAGCGTCGCCATTTTGTTAAAAAAATAAATTGAAAAAATATTTTTTACTTCTAAAGACTTGTATTATTAAAATCTTAAAACGAATTTTTTGTTACTTTTATTGTTTTCCTAAAAAAAATTCCCAAAGTTACCGACTGATTTTTAGGCGGTCAAGGTGGTGTAACCTCTTAATACGTGATTATACGGTCCTGTTTTAATCAAGGGGGGGTTGCGTTGAATCCGGAAAGTAACGGCACGCAGTTTAATCGAAACTAGGATACGTATGTAAAATCATATAATAAAATTTAAAATTAGCACCAACATCCTGATGTAACCGTTGCATTGGCCCATCTTATTCATTGTGTTTAATACATACGATTGCTAGATATATATATATATATATATATATATATCTAGCTAGATGTATATATATATATATATATATATATATATATATATACATATTGTTGAAAAACTTAATTCTTGACTTTTTAACAAACTTACTTACTCCCATCAACCTCTTTTAATAATCTTTTTCTCCTTCGTCTCACTATCTCTTTCCAATATCCTTTTCACCTGTCCTTTCATTCCTTTCCACATCTTCTCTACCTCACCGTTTTTCATTTATATCTCTCCCAAACCCTTTTTAAATTCCTCCTTACCTTCTACACTCCAAATCCATATTCTTACTCGTCTGTCCTCCTTTCGTTTTTTATTATGTCCTCTTTATCTCCTTTAATCCACACCACCAATGGCCGATGGTCCGAGAACACATTTTCGTCCATACATGTTTCCACATTCATTTCTTTCACTTTATCCCTCGTCTCCTTGCTTCCTATTACATAGTCTATAACCGACTTCCCCCCTGTAAATGTCCATTTCCCATCTTTATCCCCCTCCACATTACCATTAAATATTATCCATCCTACATTCTTTATTTCTTTCAACAGCTTGTTCCCATCAAATTCGATTTTTAATTTTTTATCTTGTGTGTTTCTTAATGTTTCCCCTCCTTTTTTTCCCGTTCTAATGTTAAAATCTCCTCCAATTAGAGTTTTTATCTCTTTTTCCTTCTTCCATTCATTCATCAATATGAGTAATTTCTCCAACTTTTTTTCTAAATCCTTTTTCTTACGAGTTTTTTGAACATATACTCCTACTATTCGCCACTTTTCCTCATTCAACTCTATTTCAACTACCATTAACCCTTCTTCTTTTGTGTCAAAATTTGTCATTTTAATTGTTTCTCTCACTCCCAGCAACATTCCCCCTCTCCCTCTCCCTTTTTTTTGATTTGGTTTTTTCGTCGCTGGTTGTTTTTTCCATGTATATCCCGGCGGCAAATTTATGTTACATTTATCTTCCCCATTCTCATTCGTTATCAACCATGTTTCACTCATTATTACTATATCCCATTTTTTTATTTCGTTCCAGAAGTTCTCATTCTTGTTTGTTAGCCCCGATACGTTCCAAAATGCCACTTTGTAACTTTCATTCCCCCCGACCCCTCCAGATCCCTGTCCTATAAAAAAAAACTCTTTTTTATATTTATTGACAGATTATAAAAGTAAACAAAAATTTTTCTATAAATCTGTTTCTGTCATGTATACGTAACTGTCATAAAATGAAAATCAAACCAATGTGATTTAGATCATTATTAATTTTATTATTTTTACATGTATATTATATTTTATAAAGGTAATTGTACTTTGTATAATTACAAAAAATGAAAAAAAATATTTATAAGAATTTCTGTACCTTTATTTATTTAAAATAATCTTTTATATATCCGTTATATTTTAAAAATATTTAACCAATTATAGTTTAGAATATACATATGTATATATAATATACTAAATATTTAATAAATATGATTAAATAACCTTCTACAGTTGACGTTCCTGAAACTGGTTCATTTGTATCTTCGACAGGTCGTGTATTTTTTGTTCCTAAGTCATTAATTTTTTCATTAACGGATTCCTTAACTTCCCTCTTGACATCATTCTTCGTATTTTTTTTTACATCCATTAGAGAATTACATGCAAAATTATCTGCAGAAAAAGCTATTGTGTTATATAATATAAATGCCTAACAATGTCAATTAAATAGTTTAATAAATATGTTTTATATAAAAATAATATTTTATAAAGATATTAAAAAGAAAAAAACAATAAAACAAATAATTATATCAGTACGCAAGTACATTTTATTACTATTTGTTATTAGAGTACATACTTTTAAGTTCTTTAATTTCTTTAATTACATTTTTTTGTCCTTCTTTAATTACATCTTTTAAGTCCTCGTTCTCTTGTCGGGTGATTTTCATCTCCCTTTCCAAACTTTCGTACGAGCGTTGCATTATTTTAAACAAATAGTAACGCTCGAGCGAATGTGATAATAATTCTTCAAGATATTCTAGATCGTCATTTTTGACATTTTCTAAGTGACTTCTAGTCTCTCTCATACATTTTATCTCTCCTTCTTGAACATGGAGATCTTTCTGCGTTCTAATTCCCAAGCTTCGTCTTTGTGATTCGATCTTTGGCTGAGCTTCTAAGGATTTCTTCAAATCCATTGTCGTTTGATCGCTTTTTAAATCACTCGTTCCGGATTTTGGATTTTCCATAATTAATTTCTCGTCTATCCGGTGTCTATCTTACTTCTAATAATAATTGTAAGATGATTTTATGGATGTCGAGGATGGGTTTTTAATGCTTAAGAAAGATACTTGTTTCGTGAAACACACACTTTATTACAATCTGAATCTTGAATGAAATGAAAATGGGCTAAAGGGTATTCTCCGCCACACGTCATCTATCGCTCTATGAATCGAGTCACTTCGATCGAAAGATCTCACTACATTCGGGCGCGCATTTGAAATAAAGAATTGCCTTACACGTCAGAAGATATTTTTGATTCAACTCTGCAAAGATAAAACAGATGATCAATGGAACACCTCCTCACTCCTGTATATGTAAAGTGAATATATAAATATATATAAGTAAGCTCTTTAAAACTCAAAGAATCAAAACAAACGAAGGCAAGTGAATTACAAGAATAAAAATAAAAATATTAAGTCCATGCACTTCGAATAATTCACCACTTTGAGTAAAAATTAAACATTTTAACGTTGGAGCAAAATTGCACTCTATTTGAGTGAAAGGGCACTCTTTTCGAATGCAATAGATCAGTGTCGAAAAGAATGAATTACAATATATCATTCTACTCTTTAAGTGACAATTTTAATCTGTTTAGAGTTTATTAATTATTCTTTAGTGATGCCACGTAGCCGCTCTAAAAATTTGACTGAAAAATTCACTCCTATAGCTTACGAGTATTTGTATTCATTTAAATTAGAATGACAATCCTCTCTTTTAGAATAATTATCGAAATTACTCTAATAGTGACCAAATCACTCTATAAGAGTTAGAGAGAGTGTAAATATATATATTGTATATGTATTCTATATTGCATGTAAGTCCAGAGCCCTAATGAGAAAAGATAAAAGCATTGAAATATAGAATACATGTATAAAACAGATAATTAGTTACAACTTTAAAGGCAAATCCTTAATTTTTATTAAAGTATAAGGAACACGTATTTTTAAGCTATATTATAATAATTCAATACGTAATCCGCCTCATAAATATTCTACAATAATAGCTGTCACTACAAAGAGATTATTAGTTTAGCGCAAGTAAGAATCACGATTTTTATAAAAACAGATTGAAAGAAATTTATAGCCATCAATAAAGTAATAAAATCAACTGTTGCTTTGTTCTGTTTCAAAATATATTTCAAAATAGAAAATTTACTAATATTACTACAATTTAGAATATTACTACAACTTTTATATAAAATAACATAAATAATGATTCACTTTTCTTAAATGTGTAAGACTAACAAATTATACTAATTATAAAAAGATTTTTTGTAAGACGGCTGTAATTTACATTATATAAACAAATAATGAATTATGATAATTCAGCTTGTAATAAAAAATGTATATTTGTGGATTTTCTAAAAAAAAATTACACACGCAGTTCCTCAGTCTTAAAAGTCAGTCTTAGTTTTGAATTAAGTATGTGTTTTTGAAAAAGGAATTTTATAAGGTTATTACAGAAATTTGAAACATGATAGATATTTTATACCCAGATAGCACAGAGAGTTCAAAAAGAATTTAGTCGTATAATTTAAAAAAAAAATTATTTTTTAAAAATGTTATTAACGTAAATAAATACCTATAATTTTGTCGTAAAACTTTTGTATAAAACATTTTTTAATATCTCAAATAGTTTTTGAGATATAACGAAAAAAAAGTTGAAAAATCATTTTATATAAAGAAAGTAATTTCAAAACCATTTTTTCGCCGCAACTGATATTTTCTAAATTCATCTCTTTACGTTATCTATATGTATATGTTATCTGTTATCTATCTATCTATATATGTATCTGGTATGTATATAAAGGAAAACATTTTTTATTTACGTATTTTATTTGGAATGGAACTATATAAATCAGAAAATTAGGACTAACAAAAAAATTGAAATAAAAATGTTTATATCAAGTATAATGTACGTGCTTGATTGATATCATTAATTAACGTAATAATATTATTTTCATTATATATTAAGTTTGTATAGTAAAAAATAATTTAAAAAATATATATTATATATTATTTTATAAATTATATTTATAATAACAATATTTTAAGTATTGTATCTTACAAATTCAAGGTAAAAATATTATTTTAAATTATTGTATTCAAGGTAACAATATTATTTTAAATTATTGTATCTCAAAAACTATTAAAAAGGGAGAGGACATTTCAATTATGTATTTGTAGTATGATTAGATTTAATTTATGTATTAAAAAATATGAATGGATTAGGCTTATTGAAGAAACCACTATAAAAAAAGACGCACCAAACTATCTGCCGCAAGGTGGTATGGAAATGATACCGTTTTGCCACGAAAAAAATAAAACAATGTTCGACTGAAATGTGTGCATGATTAGTTTTATAACAAGTGTTCAATTCTAATTTTAATAAAACTTTGCATATATATAGATAAAAAAATAAATTTAAAAAATATTAGTTGCGGCGAAAAAATGGTTTTGAAATTACTTTCTTTATATTAAAGAGATTTTTCAACTTTTTTTTGTTATATCGGTTATATCTCAAACACTATTCGAGATATTAAAAAATGTTTTATATAAAAGTTTTACGACAAAATTATATATATTTATTTACATCAATAATAAAATAATAATAAAATTTTTGAAAATTTTTGAAAATAATTTATTTTTTTATGTTGCTGTGAGTGAAAAAGGTGATTTTACTATAAAACTTTTTTATGAAACATTTTTTGATATCTTGAATAATTTTCGAGATATAACGAAAACAGCTGAAAACTATTTTACACATAAGAGATGCTTTCACCCTTTAAAACTGTTTTTGAACACCAACTGCTATTTTCTAAATTCGCATTTTTTAGCTAACCTACATGTGTAAAAAGTTTAATTAAGATCAGAATTTCACACTTTGCGGGGTTTCCTTGTGAGTCATATCTGTTACTATAATCGATAAATCCTCATTTAACATTAATTTGTTCTTGAATGCAAAGAATCTGCACGCAAAGTGTCACCTAATTATATTTTATCGTGTTATTATATTTTTCGTCCACATTTTACAAATTATCAATTTATTATCCAAATATGTTTTATACAACTATTATAATAATTAAAACTAATATTTGTCTTTTTTAATAATGTTGAGGAATTGGAAAAAATCTTAAATTTTATGTATGTACGATTGATAATAGCAATCTGAATAATTAATTCATGTAAAATATATAAATTCTTCGAATTCTACCATTACTTAATATACTCAATTACAGTTAATAAAGTCCCGAATGTATATATAAATACACTTATAATTGAAACTAAATAACGATTTCTAAACCTTGACAATATAAGAAAACCTTATGATTTTAACACTATGCAGAATACTTTGCAGAATATCTTTACGGATAAATTATTAGTTAATTATAATAATTCTTATATTTAATTTAATACAATTATTTATCTTGTTTAAGCATCTTTAACAAAATAAGATAATTGCTTATATTGATCCAACAAATAATTAAAATGCACGCATAGCTATAACTAAAGACAAAATATGAGCGTATGAGAACTAACCTGAAGAAATTACGTTGTTTTACATCGACAGTTAACAAGTGAATGAAGTGATGCAATTTGAAAACGCGGGAGATGTTGATGATACAGATTAGATCATACAGATTAGATCGTTATAATTTTATTAATTAATATCAATATCGTATATTGATAAGAAATTTTTTACTTTTACCATTTTTTTAAATATTTTCAAGACAAATGAAAAGACAAATAATCGAGTTACTATAAAATATTATCAAATCCGTGACATACAGATAAGATCGATATAATTTTATCAACGTCAGTATCGTATATTGATAAAAAATTTTTTACTTTTACTATTTTTTTTAATATTTTCAAGACAAATAACCGAGTTACTATAGAATTTTATCAAATCCATACAGATAAAATCGATACAATTATATCAACGTCAGTATCGTATATTGATAAAAAATTATATACTTTTACCATTTTCTAAATATTTTCAAGACAATGGCAAAAAAATTTTAAAAATGACAAAAGTAAGAAATTTTTTATTAATATACAATATTGATATTAATAAAATTCGTTTTAACATAAATCAATACGAGTCGTGTATCTGAGATATATACGCTACCAATACTGTGTAAAAATTTTATTGTTTACATTACGCATATTATATATATTTAGCACTTAGAATATATTTTAAAATATATTCATAGTTATCACGAATTAAGAATCGAATTAATAATCAATATCACAATAATATATATAACATTATATTATTATGCCTATATTAACAATTTCTTAAAACGTTTAATCGTAAAATTTACACGATTAAATAAAGATTATTTTAATCGTAAATGGAATTTATAATTAGATTCGTCACCTTAATTAAATGTCAATTTAATAATAAAATATAATTTACGAGCAAACAATTTATACCAAAGCAATAATTCTCTTGTACAATAACAGATAATTGGGTCCAGCAACGAGTAACACTTTAAACACGTTAAACAATTACTGTTTTTTATTTAACGTCCTATTATTTTATAATGTTTAATTCGAAGAACTATCTTTTTTGCACACTTGATTTTTTTTATTTGGAATTTATAAATATTTCCTTGAGATAAAATTTCGCAAATCTATCTTTAAATTACTTTTGATCAATTGACAACAATTGATTTTGGACAAAGTACAAAAATTGTATATGTCTATAAAGACGTGAATATATTCTATGAACACATAGATAATAAGTAACAACTTATTGATAATATATTATATAACTTATTGATAACTTATTGAATAAACAAGCTATTATGAAAGATAAATAGAAGAATAGGCACAGACACATATCTATACATATTATCTGTGCGTTTACTTAGAGCATCGATTTTTTGCATTTGCGTTACAATAAATAAATGAATATGTTCTTGCTTCTTACAGTTTAATATAACTATATATCTATGATATGCCAGTATCTACTATTTCTATGATATAAAATGAAATTTTTGGTAAAGTAAATAGTATTACATTTGTTATTTTAACATATTCATTTTTACGCTTTTTTTCTTCTTTTCCTTCAAGAAACGATAAAATTAATTTATTTTTAAGAATTAATTTTATAACGTCTAAACTATTACATTCCATTTTTTGGCATCGACCAATTGCATAATTAAGATTACAACTTTGCAGTAACTAATTGTTCCCGCTACGAAAAATTATTATTGTACTACTACTAAAAATACAAATCTAAACATATATATATATATATACATATATGATAAATTTATAAATTAAAAATGAAAATATAAAAACGACACGTGACATATATATGTACTAAATTATCATAGAATATAATCGCAATTACTCCGTATTATTGATCTTGATTGATTTGACTATAAAACTGTAGGAATATCCATCGATGTCCTCTAATTCCCTCGAATAAAATTTCGCTGCTATTCTGGCACGTCCTTCTAACTTTGGCATCATGGAAAAGCTACATTCTGCGTCTGCATCCACCTCGAATGGTTCCGATAGCTTCAGCTTCAACTGTTCGTCCAGACCAGGCCCCTCGATAAGGAATCTACCCTTCCTCAAAGGAACCGGCAGCGGATTGCGAAACTTAGCCGTAGCGTGGAGAGTCTGACCGACCGCTTCGTTATGCAACTAAATAAAAATAAATTAAAATTTACCATTTTTACAAAGTAAAATCCATTTGCTATACCCTTATTTTTTCTCCTTTGTTTTATCTTCATCTACAAATATTGTACGCATATCCCAATAATTACCGTGATTTTAATGTTAGGTTTCCTAACGCGAAAGTCGTCCTGCGCGAAGTACTCGAAGTTCATGTTCTTCACAGTGGCGAGGCAGGCGATATTGAAAGCGCATTAATCCAACAATCTTGGACCGTACTCCTCCCAGGAAACGTCCATGCGAATCTCCTCGAGCATCCCTGGTCGAACCAGTCTATCGATGTGCAATCTTTTCACCGGATCGCC